GGAGGAGGATTGGCAATAGATGTTAGCTCAGAGCCAGTCTTCCTCAGCAAAAAGAGGAGGATTAACGTGGATGTTAGCTCAGGGCTGATCTTCCTCACAAAAAAAAAAAAAACTACCCAGATGATTCTAAAGTGTATCCAGGGATAATAACCCCTGATCTATGGCCAATAAATGAGCATAGATTAAATCCAATAAATCCATAGATGAAATTCCCACCTACTGTCAACTTTCCATTACTGTGTGGATTTTCCCAAACTTTTTTTTTTTTTTTTTTTTGGAGCAAATAGGGCAAAAATGGCTCCACCTTTATTGAAATAAAAATATTTCATTCAATTGTTTTTCTTAGCCCGCTTCCAGTGCCCCTCATTGACAACACCCCAACAGAAGCGCCCAGGGACAAGGGAACCCAGGTGGATGCAGTTCCTAAACTTTTGATTGTTAATCATTTCTACCCTTCCAAATCTCACCTTGGTTTCTCTCTAAGAAATAATGTCAGAGAACTAAAGAGAATCCTGGATGAAAAGGGGACAAGGGTTTAGGTGACTATTCTATCCTTGATTGAGAATAGTATTGTGACCATATATGTCTTTACAAATGGTCTTTTCTCTTAGTCGCATAGATATAGGCTTACACCCATAAAAATAAATAGGCAGACAAATAGAGAGAGCTCTTTGGCTGCCTGCAGTTCTACATCTTCCTCAGTTTTCTTCTCTGTGTATAGTCTCTCATCTTTTCTCATGAGTTGAACTATTACCTTTATGAGAGTGACTTCCAAAGCTTCATCTTTAACTCTGACCTCACTTCAATTTCAAACCCTGATTTTTATTTGTCTTCGGATCAGTTGCATCTGCATATCCTCAGGGCCACTCTTCCTCAAACAAAAAGAGGAGGATTGGCAATGGAAGTTAGCTTAGGGCTAATCTTCCTCACCAAAAAGGAATAGTAAAATGGAGATATTTGCATATACTCTTTATCTAGATTCACTAGTTGTTAACATTTTATCATATTTGCCTCCTCCCTCTCTCTAAATGCACATGATTTTTTTGATAAGCCATTTGAGAGTTACTTGCAGACATGGAATACATATTTATTAAACTGTAACCTGCTTAATCCATTGACTTAAAGGTCTATTTCTGAACCTGGTCTCTGCCCCTTTTTATTAAGGAGTTCATAGTCTGATGGGGGAGACAGATATATAAACAAATAGTTACAATATATTAGGACAGACACTGTAGGTACTATATATATAGGAGATAAGTACAAAGTTCTGTGGGAACACACAGAGGTGAGAATGTCTAATTTCCCTTGAACAAGGCAAGGAAGGATGCACAGAGGAGTGGGGTTTTAAAGGATAACTAGGAATTGTTAGGTAGACATGTTTGTAGTGTATTTTTTTTAATGTACCTGTCTTGTTTCCCCTTTATGTTCCACAAAGCCTGGTATAGTGCTTTGCATATTTTAGATGCTCAATAAATGTCTGATTATAGGTATACCTGGAGAGAGAGAGAGATTAATACTTACGTAGATATAGTTGTATATAGTTATATATCTTTATATTTAATTCACAAATACATAGATCCATAGCCTCAAAAAGAGTAGGTGAGAGGAGGGTGTTACTAGGTGGGGCTGGAAGCCCTGGTCTATGAATAAACATGTATAATTAATGCCAACTAGTGCACCTGAATCAGAAAACAGCCAGTTTGGGGGAATACAAAGTACAGATACCTCCCCTCATTCCTACCTCCCATGCTTCCTGTTAAATTTATCCTGACTTGGAAGTTGGAACTTGAGGACAGAAATGGCTGACAGTGGCCATTCTAGGAAGACAAAAGTGGATGGCAATCAGGAATCCTCCACTGGGTCCATGATTCCCCAGGTTTGCTGTTTAAGTTAAAGAAAATATAGATGGGAATAGCAGGGCTGGATGGTAAAGAGAGTTGAAAGAATGTGATAGAAACCTGTGAGTATGTGGTGACACGTAGAAGATAATTCAGAATTGAATAGTCTCCCCACGGAGTGACGAGGCTGTGTTAAATGCTTTCTGTAACAGGGTATATTAAAGGATGGTCTCTTTTATTAGGGTCACAGTAATGATAGAGATTTGCTTGTAGAGGTTGCAGTCAGTTTCATTACTTTATAACAAATGCTTCATGCTTTAAAAGATGACAAGATCATGCACTGCCTGTTCTCTCTCTCTCTCTCTCTTTTTTTTTTTTTTTTTTGAGGGAGACCAGTCCTGAGCTAACATCTGATGCCAATCCTCCTCTTTTTTGCTGAGGAAGACTGGCCCTGGGCTAACATCCGTGCCCATCTTCCTCTACTTTATATGGGACGCCACCACAGCATGGCTTAACAAGCAGTGCGTCGGTGCGCACCCAGGATCCAAACTGGGGAACCCCCGGCCGCCGCAGCGGAGTGCGCGCACTTAACCGCTTGCGCCACCAGGCCAGCCCCTCTCTCTCTTTTTTAATTACTTCCCTTGATGTGTAAGGGGAGGGGACCATTTATAGACAGAAATTACTTAAGAAAGGGAGCTCTCCCAAGGAAACACTTTTTATTTTTCCTTCAGTAAAAGATGTCATAAAGACTTGGGGCATAATTTAACAGGTACTTATCCTTATCGTGCTGGTGGCTAGTAGTCCACTTGAGTGTTTTGAAGGAATAACAGAATGATGCAGCTCCCAAGTGGATTAGTTTTCAGAGGTGTCCTGAAGCCACCTCTGAGCCAGCATTCCCTGGAGTAACCTTGTTGTATTTCTTCTGGAGTGTGAAACAGGAAGCTTAGAGAAATGGAGAAGCTGTTTGGTGCTACATTCTTCCAAAACATATTTCCTCCCATGCCACTGTTGATGAGCCCTTCTAGTGTCATGTAGTATAACTATACTATACTAGTATAATATAGTATTACTATAACATATTATAATTAAATATACTTATTACTATATTATACTAAGTAGTATAGTATAACTAGTATAGTATTATTATACTATATTATAATTAAATATAATTATTATTGCTATGTTACATTATACCAACCAGTATAGTATATAGTTGGTAATCAGAATTTTGGAGTGTTATGACTGGAAAACTAACTACTTTAGAAATTGCCAAGCCTAGTAAAAGAAACAGTGATGACTTGAGACTTAAGAAGTTTGTGGCTTTTTTTTTCATGGAAAAGGAATTGAGTTGCATTAACAATTGCCCTTTGCACTTATTCTGAATTGAAGTTCATTTATTCTTTAGGGAAAATGTCTAGATAAATATTTCTGTGGACTCTTGAAGATAAGTCTTGGCTAGTTTAGAAAAAATAAAAGTGATGTTGTTGGCTTTTCTAGGCCATAGGATGTATTTTTGAATATCTTCACAGCTTTATGATTTTTGAGCTGACTTACCCATTTTGACTAGGTGGAATGTTCTCTAATAGGATGGTTGGCTTTGTTTTACATAAACCGGTTAGAGCTTGGATTTTTTTTTAACTTGAAGGAATCACCAACTGCAGCTTTTGATTCCACTTTTAGCTGCAGTCTACTCTTCTGTGTACCTATAAAGTAAATGCCATGTAAATATGAACCCAGGATAGGGTTACTTCTTCTCAAAAGGTCATGTACCAACTGCAGTTGCTGAGTAAGTGTTCCTGCATCTAGCGATGTTTATAACAGTCTTGTTTCCATTTATTTCTGCAGAGTGTAGTGAAGCTGATGAGGGGACTGCTGCACTGCATGATCAGACAGGTATGGTGTTGGTAACACCTCTCTCTCTAATAAAAGCACATTGTAATAGAATCTCCACCCCTTAGGGAATGTTTATAGTTTATATTTTTTCAATTGCACAAATAGTGCACACTAATTTTAGAAAATTTATAGAATTGAAGGGGAAAATGTCACCCATGATCTCACCACCCAGTTACCAGCGGAATGTTTTCCTCTAGTCTTTTTTTCCCCCTCTACAAGTGATTTTTTAATATACTTCATTACTGTGCATACAATGATGTATATTGAGTAAAAGATGATACAGGTCTATAAGCCCTCACCTGAAACCCTTGGGACCGGATAACTTTTAGAATTCAGAATTTTTCAGATTTTAAAAGGTAGTACAGTGCGTGTATCATATATTATCTTATGCCCTCAGTAGGTCCAGAGTAGCATTCCATCATCAAAAACAATCTCTCTGTAGGGAAACATGCATTTCACACTAAGTGGAATAAATAAAAACTACAAATAGCCCCATGTCAATTTGAATCATATATTGCCACGAAATGAATTTTGGTGCTACGCTTAGGGGAACAAACCTTTTGTTTTGTTTTTGTTTTTGTTTTTTTTTTTTTAGATTTTATTTATTTATTTATTTTCCCCCCAAAGCCCCAGTAGATAGTTGTATGTCATAGCTGCACATCCTTCTAGTTGCTGTACGTGGGACGCGGCCTCAGCATGGCCGGAGAAGCGGTGCGTCGGTGCGTGCCCGGGATCCGAACCCGGGCCGCCAGCAGCAGAGCGCGCACACTTAACCACAAAGCCACGGGGCCAGCCCGGGAACAAACCTTTTGAAAGTGTTTTAGATTTTATGATTGGAGATAAGGGGCCGAGGACTTATATCTCCTTGCATTAATTTGTATTTTTCTGGTCTTCAGTGAAGTTGAGCATGCTTTCATGTGTAGATTGAAAATTTGCATTTCCTCTTCTGTTAATTGCTATTGGGTTCTTTGCCTATTTTTATTTTGGGCTGTCTCTTTCTTGCCTATTTGAAGAGTTCCCGTACATTATGGATTTTAATCCCGTGTCCCATATACTGCAAATATTTTTTAGCAGTCTGTGGTTTATCTTTTGGGTTTATATATGATATTTTTTCCATTCAAAAGTGTTTTACTGGGGTTGGCCCAGTGGCATAGTGGTTAAGTTCCAGTGCACTCCTCCAGCAGCCCAGGGTTTGCAGGTTCATATCTCAGGTGTGGACCTACACACAGCTCACCAAGCCATGCTATGATGGCGTCCCACATACAAAATAGAGGAGAAGTGGCACAGGTGTTAGCTCAGGGACAGTCTTCCTCAAGCAAAAAGAGGAAGATTGGCAACAGGTGTTAGCTTAGGGCCAATCTTCCTCACCAAAAACAAAAAAAAAAGTATTTTACTTGTATCCTAGGAGATCTTTACACATGTTGCACACATTGAATCTGAACTGATTTTCTTGAGACCAAGATTACATTTTATTAGAAGAAGAAATGGAGGTCCAGATTAATAAAGTGACCATCCACAGGTACACACAACAAGTCTGAAGTAAAAAGAAATCAACTCTAGACTTCTGAACTTCTTTATCAGTGCTCTCTCTACTGGGCTATCTCATGGCCATTATTTCTTTTTTTTTTCCTTCTTTGCTACTATTTTTTTTCTATTTTAGAGATTTGCATTTTCTACCCTACCAAATAGGTTTAAAGTCACTAATTTCATGAACCATATTTAAAGGTATAAGAGTTACTATCATATATCAGATGCACACATACTCAGATCTAAGTTTCAGGAACTAAGTTTTTCAGTTGTCCCTTGCACAATGTTTTCTTTCTGACCTCTGGTTTCAGCTTTCTTTCATATCTTCTCTGTCACTCCGTGTATCTCTCCCCAGCTCTTTTCATTACTCCTTCAAAATATATCCTCTTGTTCTAATTTCCCTCAAAATTCCTACCTCTGTTTCAGGAACAAATGTGTCTTTTTTACAACTCAGTTATCTCTTACTAAGCTGTTCTCCCTCAGCCACTCTGCATCTCAGTTTATATCTACAATGTGGCAAAACAACCATCTGAAGAATGAAAGAGAGGTAATGAATAGGAAATAGCTAGTTTTGACTGGTATTATTTTCTAATTAAATTGCTTAAATTAAAAAACAGCAACAGTAGACTTTCCTAGTTGTATTAGTGTAGGGAAAAAAGATAACAATACATTTTAAATATTCACAATTGCCTGAAGACCGAATGCAGCCACATGTGTTAGAGTACTGCAGAAGTATGGCACATGGGTTGATTTTTCTGCATAGCCTTCTTTTACTGTTTTTGTTTTCTTCAGGTGGATAAAGTAGAATCCTTCAAGTATAGTCAGAGTACCAAGGATAGCCTCCATGCCAAGTATAACACCAAAACGTGTGCCACTGTAGTGGGTGATGACCAGTGGGGACACCTGCAGTTGGATGCTACCTCTGTGTACCTGCTCTTCTTAGCACAAATGACTGCCTCAGGTCAGTACAAGGACAGAAGTACTGGGGGCCCCTGCAATGTGGAGCACTTGCTCTGGCACACGTGGCTTCGCCAAAGGTGTTGGCCAAAAAACAACATAGCTATTTACATTGCTCAAAGATGCACATTGGAAACATAGTATTTTGCACATTTTATATGGAGAAACAACTCTTTGAGCTCTAGTTTGTGTTCTTTTACATTGAGAAACAAGTCTGGTGTACTAATTAATTTTTTAATTGAGAACCAGGAAATCTGGGACAGATTTTCTTTAGATGGTATTTTTATCTTTTATTAATCCTCAAATACCATGAGATGGGAAAGAAAGGCTAGGGTTTATTGATTGTTCTCATACTAGACACCGACATGCCTATAGTTAGTATTAACATAAATTGAATCACTTACTTTGTACTACTCTTTATGAACGTATTATAAACAAGGCATCTGTCTATAGGCATCTAAATTATATTAAGGGAATTAACTTAGGAATCAGAATTAAAATGTGTATTTTTTATTGTTGAATAATACACCTTTTCAGATTGTTTTGTTATTAGCTTTAGAAGCTTTAACTGAAAAAGAAAAGTGTAAGAACCAACATAATCCCCTTTTATTTCTCCTAATTGGGGAGGACAACGAATCTGATTACCCTCAGTTTGTAAATTAAACAGGAACCTTTGTTAGATCTTCCTGAGTAAGTAAATGTACTTCTCACGATACCATATTTTTGACGTTTCGATTTCTTTATCTTCCTATTTGGTTCCAAGGCTCCTTGGTACAAAGGGCATTCAAGGTGAGAATTACCCCACAATAGTCTTCTCCTTTTCTTGTATAAATAACTATTTGGTGATAAAGCCTTCCTTTTTTTTTTTTTTTTTTTTTTTTACCTCTAGAACACAAGCCCGGAAGCTGAATAACCTTTTCTTAAAATTATAATATGGCTACCCACATACTCCCTTCTTTTGGAGCAGAGGTTCCTCCCTGAATAAATGTATTTTTAGGCTTTATTTATTTAAACAGCAGCTGTAACTCCGTTTATAATATTCCTTTAATACCAACTCTGGAATGTTTTTCTACAAAGCAAACAGTGTCTAAATATCCCTTGTGGTTTTTCATTTTGAGCCCAGAACAGAAGCAGAAATATACTAAAGAGGCTTATAAGAGACATATTCATTCATTCATCAGTTTGTTGATTCCTGACTTACCATTTAATTCAATGAGCTAACTTTGATAGGTGCTTAGGATAAGGTGGATATTATTTGATCAGGCCTTTAGGGAATAAGTAGGAATAAGTAGAAATTCACACATCAGAGAAAGGAAGGGAATAGCATGACTACCACACATAAGTTTGAAAAGTACTGGCTACCAAGGTAAAGCTAGGTATCTTCTATGGTTAGAGTATAAGATAGATCTGGAAAAATGGCAAAAGATGAAGCTAGAAAGTTGGGACTAGCTGTTTAAGGGCCTGTGTATCATGCTAAGTAGTTTGGAGTTTAGTCTGTAGTCAGTAGAGGGCCACTGAAGGTAAATAATCAAGAAAATTTCAGATGATTCAGATTCAGGAGGCTAGATTGGATAGGGGAGAAAATTAAGATAGAAGACTAGTTAGGAGGTTAGTGAAATACTTTAGGCAAGAAATGATGCAGAACTTATGTAAGGCAGTTGCCTTGAGGATGAAAAAGATGAGAGAGATAATCAGTAGGTAGAATATGAAAGATCTTCATGGAAAATTTAGCAATTTTCTGCATATTTTTGAATTCTTAAAAATTTCAACCTTGGTTAAAAGAGAAGCTTAGACAGAAGCTGACTGCAACTTACAGGATGGTGGCCTAAAGAGCTCCACAGACCTTTTCCCCAGCAAAATAACCATAAATAGTGAAAATTAATTTTAAAAAACCAACCATTTAAAGTCACTGGAAATTGTCCTAAGGGCATACAGCAAGTGGAGAAACATTTATTCAAGGAAATCTAAATCTTAGTAAGAGCAGTGAAAGAGTGTGGTATTTGGGCCACAACCTACTCCCTCCTCCACCCCAGGCTCACCATGACAGAAGTACTACTCTCAAGGTTGATGCAGCCAAGAATAAAAGTCTCCCTCTCCTCCCAGCTCCCAGTCTAGGGCTATGATATCTCCCTGAGAGAGGTAGGTTGCCAGCATTTCTCATCGTCCCCAGCTCTGTGTTGCAGAAGCTCTAGTCTAGCCAATAACTAAGAAATCTGGAACTCCCTTCCTACCTGGCCCCCATTCCACTCATGGAATCGAAGCTTAACCCCAGGCAGAGCAGGCAGAGAATACTAGGCCTGACCCACCTTGCTAGTAGCATGGAGGGAGAGGCAGGCCATAAGAACAGAAAGCTCCATAGCTCTTCCCAAGAGAACTGACTTTATTTGGAACAGAATCAAGCCTAAGGGCACTCTCAAAAACAATGGAGGTTTTGGTTTTAAGAAATTAGGTTCCAAGAAATTAGGTGCCATGAAGTGAAGAGGAGGCTGATAGCTCAATAAGAGCAATAAGCTAACCCATAGTTTCTGGTTTCTTCCAGAGAGGAGATTTGGCAGGGTGGGAGTGATGTGATTCCTGGTGGGAGGAAGACTTTCACTGTATACCTGTTGGTATTTCTCTCCATAGAGAGTTGGGGGGATGGGAGAGGAGAGAGGAGTTAGTTTTTAAACAAAACTGGATTATATTGTATATATTGGGAAGCAGTATAGCATCTTGGTTAGGAACTCAGTCTCCGAAGTGAAACAGAAGTTGATAGTCAATTGAGTCCTAGTTCCACTATTTATTAGTTACATGATCTTAGACAGGTATTTAACCTAAGCCTCATGGAAAACATAGAGGTACTCACCTCTTAGGGTTGTTGTAAAAATCATATGGATAATTCATGCAAAACACTCCATTTGTAAGCTATAACTATCTTTGTATAGCTTACATTTAGAATAATTATTTTTACTGCAAAAAACATGGTTTTAAATTCTCCTTAAAATCATAATTTTTATCTACTTCTTGCTTAGTATTTAAACTTCCTCCAACTCTTTTTTGAAATATTTATCATTCTTTTTCCAGATGCCTAGGTTTGTACGTTTAAGCACCTTATAAATTAGTTACTTATAGAATTATGAGTCTGAAACTTTCTATTAAAACCTACAAATAACAGTTAAAATTCTTCCATGTTAAACTATGTTGGTATCTCACTTAGTTGAAGACTAGCCTGGGACTCATTTGTGGTCTTGTTTTTAGGGTTTAAGAATCAAAGTGCCTCCCATTATTCCTAAGCAGGAGTAGGATTACTTGGGAGTAGTGGGATCAGTTAGTCACTATGGCTGCCTATAAAGCCTATAGTGATAATTGACCAGCTCTATATATTTGTTCTTTTTTTTCCTCAGGACTTCATATCATCCACAGCCTAGATGAAGTCAATTTCATACAGAACCTTGTATTTTACATTGAATCTGCATATAAAACTGCTGTAAGTACTCATTTTGGAATGGATTTTAAATGTTTTTTTTAATTTTTTTAATTGAAGTATAATGGACATACAATATCCTATTAGTTTCAGGTGTACATCATAGTGATTTGATAGCTATATACATTACAAAATGATCACCATGATAAGTCCAGTTACCATCTCTCACCATACAAAGTTATTACATTATTGACTATATTCCCTATTCTGTACATTACATCCCCATAAGTCATTCACTTTATAGCTGGAAGTTTGTACCTCTTAATCCTCTTCATCTGTTTCACTTGCCCCCTCAACCCCTCCCTCCTCTGGTAACCACCAGTTTGTCTCCTGTATCTATGAGTCTGTTTCTGTTTTGTTTGTTCATTTGGTTTGTTTTTTAGATTCCACATATAAATGAAATCATATGGTATTTTTCTTTCCCTTTCTGACTTATTTCACTTAGCGTAATACCCTCTAGATCCATCCATGTTGTTGTAAATGGCAGGATTTCATTCTTTTTTATGACTGAGTAATACTCCATTGTATATATGTAGCACATCTTCTTTACCCATTCATCTATCAATGGACACTTAGGTTGCTTCCATATCTTGGCTATTGTAAATAAAGCTGCAATGAGCCTAGATATGCATATATCTCTTCGAATTAGTGTTTTCATTTTCTTTGGATAAATAACCAAGAGTTGGATTGCTGGATCATATGGTAGTTGTATTTTTAATTTTTTGAGGAACCTCCATACTATTTCCCATAGTGGCTGCACCAGCTTACATTCCCACCAGCAGTATATGAGGGTTCCCTTTTCTCCACATCCTTGCCAACACTTGTTATTTTTTGTCTTTTTAATAGTAGCCATTCTGACAGATATGAGGTGGTATCTCATTGTAGTTTTGATTTGCATTTCCCTGATGATTAGTATCTTGAGCATCTTGTCATGTGCCTGTTGGCCATCTGTATATTTTCTTTGGAAAAATGTCTATTCGGGGCCAGCCCAGTGGCGTAGCGGTTAAGTTCCCATGTTCTGCTTCAGTAGCCCAGGGTTCGCCGGTTCCAATCCTGGGCATGGACCTACGCACCGCTCATCAAGCCGTGCTGAGGCGGCGTCCCACATAAAAGAGCTACAACTCTACAACTGTGATATACAACTATGTACTGGGGCTTTGGGAAGGGAAAAAAAGAGGAAGATTGGCAACAGATGTTAGTGCAGGGCCAACCTTCCTCAAAAAAAAAAAAACAGAAAAATGTCTATTCAAGTCCTCTGCCCATTTTTTAATCAGGTTGTTTTTTTTAATATTAAATTGTATAACTTCTTTATATATTTTGTATAGTAACCTCTTATTGGATGTATGATTTGCAAATAACTTCTCCCATTCAGTAGGTTTCCTTTTTGTTTTGTTGATGGTTTTCTTTGCTGTGCAAAAGCTTTTTAGTTTGATGTAATCCCATTTGTTTATTTTTGCTTTTGTTGGCCTTGCTTGAGGCGACTGGTCCAAGAAAATATTGCTAAGACTGATATCAGAGATCTGATTGCCTATGTTTTCTTCTAGGAGTCTTATGGTTTCAGGTCTCACATTCAAGTCTTTAATTCATTTTGAATTTATTTTTGTATATGGTGTAAGACAGTGGTTCAGTTTTATTCTTTTGCATGTAGCAGTCCAGTTTTCCCAACACCATTTATTGAAGAGACTGTCTTTTCTTCATTGTATATTCTTGCCTCCTTTGTCATAGATTAATTGACCATATATGCATGAGTTTATTTCTGGGCTCTCTATTCTATTCCATTGATCTTTGTGTCTGTTTTCATGCCAGTACCATACTGTTTTGATTACTATAGCTTTGTAGTGTAGTTTGAAATCAGGGAGCATGATACCTCCAGCTTTGTTCTTTCTCAAGATTGCTTTGGCTATTTGGGGTCTTTTGTAGTTCCATATAAATTTTAGAATTCTTTGTTCTAGTTCTGTGAAAAATGCCATTAGTATTTTGATGGGGATTGCATTGAAACTGTAGATTGCTTTGGGTAGTGTGGACATTTTAACAATATTAATTATTCCAATCCATGAGCATGGTATATCTTTCCATTTATTTGTGTCATCTTCAATTTCCTTAATCAGTGTCTTAGAGTTTTCAGAGTGCAGGTCTTTCACTTCTTTGGTTAAATTTATTCCTAAGTATTTTATCCTTTTTGATGCAATTGTAAATGCATTATTTTCTTAATTTCTCTTTCTGATAGCTTGTTATTAGTGTATAGAAATGCAACCGATTTCTGTATATTAATTTTGTATCCTGCAACTTTACTGAATTCATTTATTAGTTCTAATAGTTTTTTAGTGGAGTCGTTAGGGTTTTCTATATATATTATCATATCATCTGCAATATGATGTTTTTAAAATACTGGACAACCCATTCCTTCTCTTAATGCTGTACCTCATAGTGAACCAATCTATAAGACTTCTGGCAGAAATTGCCTTCAGCCTCTTTCTTTACTAAGTGCTGTCATCATCTGTTTGCCTTCTCCCCAAGGGAGTTACAGAGGCAAGAGGGTCAAGATGCTATGCTTTCATTCCTTTCAAACTCTATAATATCTCATGGTAGGTATTTGGCAATCTAGGGCTAAATTGTGGTCTTACTTTAATGGTTTATGGTGTTAAACAGGAGCAAGATGGCTAGGGAGTATTATGGGTCAGTTAGCTACTTATAAATAAAATTTAATCATGTGTTTAATATTACAGACATTGATTCAGTGCTTACTATACAAAAATACTTAGTTTTTCTTACAACTACCGTATGAGGTAGGTTTATGTTAAATCCTGATGTATTTAACATCTTCTCAAGGATTGCTGTTCTTCATTGCATGATGATCATTGTATTGAAAATGGCTGTATCATAAATAGTCCATTTTTTTTAGTTGTTTTTTAGTTGTTTTAGGTGGGAGGGTAAATCTGGAACCTGTGACTCCGTATTTGCCAGAAGGATAAGTCTAACATAGACATATTTGATGCAAGCAGACATTATCTGTTGACTGATCGCTTTGCCTTCTAATACTATAGGCCTGCTATGGTCCAGGGTACAAGCCAGGGTTCTCTGGCCTCTCCATTGTGGCCAAGGGTTGCAGCAGTAGAATTAATGATATTTATGTCTTCTCATACTCTAATCTTTGCTGAACAGACCAGGGTAGAGCTGGGTTAGGGGCCAGGCAAGGCTAGCCATGGGATAAATGTGGCTTACCTTCCTGAAGCTTCACTTTAACTCAGAAATTTTACATGAAAAGTAATTTAAGGTGGATACAGAAATAAATATAGGTGTGTGGGGTGTGTGTGTGCCACATGTATGTGCACGCACACACATATGCACATGGGTATTTCCAAGTTGTTTTCAATGAGAGGGCCTAGAAGCAATGACACCACGGTCACAATGAGCACCAGTGTCCAGGTATTGGATTTTGACTATCATTCTCTAATAAAAGAAACCAGGATTCCTTGTAGAACTGGAGGATTCCAGGGCTGGGACAGGGAGAATACAAGATGAGACTGAATCATCTTGTAGTGACAAAAAGTGAGGAAGTGTTTAAAAAAGAATGGGCCATGTCAAAAGGGCACAGGAGCCAACATGGAAGAACTCCCAAGGGCCAGAGCTGGAACAATTTGAGCAACAAAATAAATAATGATAACATTTTATTATAACCCAGAGAATAACCTAAATATCCATAAGTTCATATTGATATAAGTAAATAGCTGAGTAAATAAATGGGGAGAAAGGACAGCTCTTCCTTAGAGAAGAATTGCTATTAATGACTGTAGAGGTAATGAAGGAACTAGAAAATCACCATTGAAACACCACTGTAATAATTGTTGCAGGCAAGATTCACTGATGGATGCTAAATTAGTGAGTAAATGTTTGAGGAGAAATAGGATATTTGCACAGTTGTAAACTATCTCTCTCAAGATATTTATTAATGACAAAGGGAAAAATAGTAACAGTAGAATGGAAAAACCCTGCAGACGCCACCTTAACCAAGTGATGATGGTTAACATCACCAGTAATAAGACATATCAACATCATGTACCCCCTGATAGGATGCACTGAGGACATAGCATAATGTTTGTAGTATTCTTGCCAAAAATGCATAACCTCAATCTAATCAAGAGAAGACAGCACGGGGCCGGCCCTGTGGCTTGGTGGTTAAGTGCGCGCGCTGCGATGCTGGCGGCCCGGGGTTCGGATCCCGGGTGCGCATCGAGGCACCACTTCTCTGTCCATCCTGAGGCTGAGTCCCACATACAGCAACTAGAAG